AGGCCCCACAGGCTCTGATGGCCCTACAGGCCCCAATGGCCCCATCCCAAAGTGCCAGTCCCGATCCCGGTCCTTGCAGGACGAAGCGGACGATGGGCCTGGGGAGCCTCTATGGGGAGAACGACCTCCTGGAGCTGGATGGGGACCCCCAGAAGGAGCGGCAGGTGGCCGAGAAGCAGCTGGCCCAGCTCGGGGAGATCCTGTGAGTGCCTGAGTTTGGGGTTTGGGGTTGGAGACACGGGGAAGAGGGGCAGGAACAGCCTCAGCTCCGTCCCTTCATCCTGCTGGAGGTGGGAAGGGGAGGTGGGAACAGGGAGGTGATGCCAACACCCCTCCTGGGGGTCCTGGTGTCCCAAACAAACCCTTTTATCCCTCCCTGTCTCTCCACAGGTCGAAGTATGAAGAGGACAGGAGGTGAGTGATCCCAGGGCACGGCAGGAGGGTCGGGAATTCCGTAGGGAGTATCCAGTCCTGGCCTCCGGCATCTTCTCTCTGTGCCACATGTGCCCCCTGGGCTCTCGGGATGGCCCTGGGAAGGGTGAACTTCCCTTGGGATCCTGGGGAGGGATAAACTTCCCTTGGGATCTGGTGGGCCACGTCTGCCCCTCTCCCATTCCATCTCCCCCTCTCCCAACTCCTCCTCTCCTTCCCTCTTCCCTCTCAGCCTCATCCCACCCCTGTGGATCCCCCGGGGTTGTCTCGACCTCCCGCCGTGTTTTCCCACCATTTCCAGGGCTGGGATCCCTCTCCATCCCCGTGCTCTGCTCTCTTCCAGCTCCCCCATGGCCTTTGCCCTCAGCACCTACATGAACCACACCGGGATCCGGGTGCGGGACCCGCGTCCTGCCGGCGCCTCCGAGAAGGTCCCGTCCCTCCCCGACAGGGACAAGTGGCTGCCCTTCTTCCCCAAGGCCAAGAAGGTGGGTGCTGGCTCCCTGAGAGCCCTGAATCCCAGAATCCCTGAGGTTGGAAAAGCCCTCCCAGCCCATGAAGTCCACCCTGTGCCCCATCCCCACCTTG